CTCATCAAGTCTTACTGAAAATAAGTCATAATCAAATTTTTGCTAAAATTATATTTTTATGACAATTTTTTTTGTGTGTGCATATATTACTAAAAATTGGCAATTAATGACTTTTTGTCACGATTTTTATAAATTATTACTTAAACTTACAATTAGTGACGTTTTCTGTGACGAATTTTTCAAACTGTCGCTTAAAGTTGAAAATTAGTTATATTTTTGTAACAATTTTTTTAAACTGTCGCTAAACTTATAATTAGTGATATTTTTTATAATAATTTTTAAACTGTTATTGAAAATTAATAATTAGTGATATTTTTAATAATATTTAATAAAAAATATCATTAATTTTCATAAGACTTACTGAACGATAAGTTCACTCATTAAAACTTATACGCAAATTCTCTATAATTTAATGGGCATCCTTCATTACAACCCTACAATAAAGAGGATCTGAGTCCACTTTCTCTCTCATATATGCTGAAATTATCAATCAATGATGTTTACTTATACTATCTGTAAAGTCAGTCTAAAAACTTAGGCAGGTATATATTTTTTAATTTTTAATGGAGAATTCCAAATATTACAGGCGTTCGGCTCTTAACTGCATTGGACCCACAGCTGAACTCAGCACATACATGTATACAGTACACAAGAGTCATGGATTTGGAACGTTAGACGATTGGCAACTCAACTCAAAACCTACCTCTCCAAGAAAAGTGTAAAAGGTCGCGAAAGTCACTCCCTCCCTTGAAAAATTATGTGGTGCTCCGAACCAGTCTCAAGACCTAAAATTAATAATTAATTAATAAATTTTTAAAATTTTTCATATTTTTTTTAATTGAATGAAAAAAAAAAAGATTAAAGACAAAAAATTTATATCAGAATCACAAAAAATATTTAGCATTATATTATAACAATTAATAAGTGTCGCTTGATTCTCGTTCTTATTATATTTTTAGAAACAAATAAATCAATCATACTTGCATAATCTACTTTTTTTGCAAAATTATTTTCAATGGATAATAATACTAATTATTTTAAATGGGCTTTTCAATTTTTTAATGGATCAATTTATTTTAAGATAGTTTGGGTCTTCTTTAATTTTTTTTAGACTTAAAATTTACTTAATATATTACAATAAACTATAATAGGAGGACCCTTTTTTGGGTCTATTTTCAATGGATAACAATATTAATTTTTTTAAATGAGTCTTTCAATTTTTTAATGAGTCAATTTATTTTAAATTAGTTTGGGCATTTTTTAATTTTTTTTAAACTTAAAACATACATAATATATTATACTAAATCATAGTAAAAGAGACCCCTTTTTTAGGTCTATTTTGAGGGGTCTTAGGCCATGGCGTTGTTGGCCCATGCCCAGGGCGGGCACTGTCCGGAACACCACATGTTCATGTTCTTCATTAATTATTATACGCTATGTTTATATTATTTCTTAATTATTCGATACAAAATTTTAAATTACACCCTTTTCACCAACACCTGAACCAATATATAGCCATACCTAAGGACCAGAAAATAACTTCTCCCTTCCCCTCCCCTACGTAAAGACAGCTCCAGCTATTATGCCTCGAATCTTCTCTCTCTCTCTCTTCCACAGCTATAAATATACAGCACCCCCAAAACCCACCAAACTACTAATCCATCCTAACCTGATCAGACTTACCAACGCAGAGCAGCAACAATGGCTGCCACCAGATTATTATCACTACGTAGTAGTGTGAGAATATATATTATATATATGGCATGCTTGTGTATTTTAGGAATTAGACAATTTCCTTTTTTTTCTTGTATATATTAGGAATTAGGCAATTTCTTTTTCTTTATATTTCATTTTGCAGTCATAGGTTTAGGCTATATAAACCGTTGAACTCTTTGTAAATATACACAATTGAATATATAGTTTCATTTAGAAAACTTACAAGTAGTTCTAAGCCTTTGGGTCTTGGTCTTTCTTCTTTTTCTTCTTCTTATTCATCTATTACTAGTCTAAAAAAACTCAATAATTTGGCATTGTCATTGACGACGACTGTCATGTGTATGCAAAGAAGAGAAGCCGTGGCTAAGCAAGAAGAAGAAACAGTCGGTGGTGGTGGTGAAGGCGTCTGTGTCCTAAAAACTTCGAAGCCGCCGCACCAAACAAATGCAGGAGTAATAGATATGGCCTCTCTGCTTGCAAAGGTTACTTTTACGGCGCTTCTGGTCTTAAGGGTCGTTACTAAACCAAGACCATGGAAATTGCATCCCCAGATGCTCATTAAAAGGGTGCGTTTATTTATTTATTTTAATTTTTTAACACCACAATCGTACCTCATAATTTAAAATTTGTTAAAAGCCAAATATTTTGGATGTGTTTTCTATATAAAAATTCTATTTGTTAATAATTTTCTGATCTGATTGAATAAACTTGGGCTGACCAGATATTAATTATATGAGAGAATCTGTATTAATTGTTTGATTATTAATAAGGCATAACAAATTAGTCTGTAATCAGTCTATTTGCTCTTGTTTTTGATTTTTAATTTTTCGTGTTACAAATATTTTACTTTTTAAGTACATCTAACTTAGGTGAATCTAAAAATAAAACAAAACTAAAATATGAAGAATTTTTTTTTACTAAAAACATAAAAACACAAATAACAAAACAACTCAATAACTACATTTCAATTTTAAAACAAAATAAAATAAATGGAATTAATTGTACACACTGAGAAACTTGGGCATGTTTAATATTGTTTCTATTTTTGGCTTTAGTTTTTTGTATTTTAGAGATAAAATAAATAAAAATTTGATAACACATTATTTTTATATTTTGTGTGTGAAGATTATTTTATCTTTTTAGTGTTCTTTAAAATGTAAGTTGTGTCCAAAAAAAAATTCTAAAAAAGTTAGTCAAACATATCTTTTATTAGAAAATGATAGAGAAGCCCACTTCCTAGAGTTAGTGATGTGTAAAAGATATAATTAATCGATGATTACAGAAAATAAATGCAAGGGACAAGGCTCAGTTTCTTACGTTATAGACAACGATAGGGAACGAGATTTGAGCACAAAAACATGGTGGCTACATGATTGGTTTTTTCCATACAAGCACCAAGTACATTTCTTTTGTTGAAGATTTTCTTTATAAATGATAAAAATACACAAACATATGAATAATGTTAGGGAAATTGACAAATATATCACTAAATATACAAACTATAAGGTACAAAACTTAGGTGTAGTTTCGTATTTTAACATTGCAAACATTATTTCCAAGATAGAATTATGTTTAAACATACCAAATACACATAGAACTATGTTTGTATCCACAATTTGTATTAATAAATTTGGAATACATTTGAAAGAAAAATATCACTGTACAACATAATAATTTTCTTCTATTTCTTTGTAAAATGGCAGTATTTTTTTTTTTTTTTTTTTTTTTTTTTTTTCATCAGCTTGTAAAATGGGAGTACTACTGCCCATGAGATTGAATCAACTGACAGCGAATTGTTATCTTGATATCATCAGAATTGTTATATATCATTTGTCCATTTAAACTCACGAATTGTTATATATTGTTCAAGTTATTATTGACTGTCGATTCTTTACGTCGTTCGCTGTTGTGGAATCCTTAGTTGGTTCAATTTGTGGAGGTGTATAATAAATATAACATGCATGAATTTAATTACTTATTTTCTTAAATTGAATTAGGAAGAAAATAATGCTTTTGTTTTGTCGTTTTCCTCTGTTTCTGATGTGCCTGTGATGTTAATTTCACAATGTAATTCCAGGGTTGTTTCATGGTTCTAGAATCCTATTTCCGCTATTTTAATTCATTGTCCCAAAGTTCAGATCAAGGAGAGGTCATGCACTTACTAATTGAAGCGATAGGTATCCTCTCTCTCCCTCTCTCACATTTTTTCCTTTTTCTTTTTTGGACAAATTCATTAGTACTCCTTATATTTTGTTCCTTATGTTATTTTGATCCCTATCATTTCAATTAGTTTGATTTTGACTTTTAATTTTAAATTTTGTGTCAATTTGATTCAATTAATAATGCCAATTAAGAATTTTTTTTTTTTTTTAAAAAAAGCCACTAAATTAGTTGAAATCAACTCACAAAACTTGTCGAATCAGCCTGTGTTTGGCAAGTGGATTTGCAAGTTTTTTTGGCTATTTTAACCACAAAAAACAAAATAGGCTATTTTAGCCATAACAAACAAAACATCAAATCCAACCCATAATCATTACATTCTTCTCTCACAAAAAAAACTCAAAAAGTCAAAAAGTCCTTCCCAAACCAAGCTTTTAAGCCTAGGCCAAAAAAGCAAAAAAAACTAAAAAGCTAAAAAGTCAATCCACTTCCCCAACGGAGTCAGTGAAGAAATGGTTGCTATTTGGGCTAAATTAAATCTGATCAAGAAGGTACCATACTCAGTGCATGACATTATGGAGAATCTTAGTCATATTAGGCTGTGTCAGTAATGTGGCGGATGGGTTTGGTCTGTTGTTGTTAATGTTTGGGTGTTTCTGGGTTTTGGAGGTTTGGGGTTGGAGGCTTGGGTTTTTTTTCTTGTTCTCTTGGTGTCAATTTAGTTGAGATTTGTGAGATCTGCTATGATAATTTGTGCTTCCCCGTCCCCTTTTGTTGATGTAACATTAATAAAGGTTCTTTTTCTGGTTGATAAAAAAACTCTCAGTAAAACATGACATGTTGCTTATGTGCACATTTTTTATTAAAAAAAAATTTATAATCAATTGAATAAAATTGATATAAAATTATAAATTCATAATCAAAATCGAGCTAATTGAAATTATAGAAATTAAAATGATACAAAGATCAAAATATAAGGATTAACAGTGTAATTTGTCCCTTTTTTCCTTTATTATGTATGTATATATGAGTAGTAGTAGTAGCAGCAGCATCGTAGTGTTGTTAGTGATAGAAAATGAGTGAATCATTTGATGCAGATATGTTCCTAATAGGAACAACAATGCTGATATTTGGGATGGGGTTGCATGCCATGTTTGTGGGTTCAAAATATCTCAAAGGAAAAGGTTCACAGCTCCCCCTTCAAACTTCTTTGGACTTTTCTATCTCAAGGTGCCTCCCTCCACTTGTTTCCTACATTTACATCCCTCCAAATTGTATACACACAATTTCTGTTCTCAATTTTTTTTTTTGGGTCCTAACTCTCTTTCCTATGCTATTTTTTAATGTTATCATCTAGTCAAAATTTAAATTTAAAATTAAATTAAATTTTCTAAATCATTAAAAGATAAATTATATTAAATTCAAATTATAAATATATTATAACATTACAAGAGTGGAATAAATTGAAACAAACAATATGAACAGAAGATCCAAAGTCACTAAGGGGGTGTTTGTTTGGACTTTTTTGAGTTATATTATAACTTTTAGTTTTGAAAAATTATTTTGGACTGTTTGGTTAAACTTATTTCAAGCAACTTCTGATTCTAACAATTTATTTTAATTCAAAAAAGCTAATTCTGAGAAGTTGCTCACCCCTTACTTCTAATTATCTGCTTCTGCTGTGGATATGCTAATTTACGGTTATACTCCTAGATTTTTTTTTATTTTTTATTTTTTTAAAAATAGAAAAGACCCAAATGGACGATAAATTATTATTATTATTTTTTTATAAGAAATGTAGACAAGTAGTGAATAATAAAAAATAAAAATTAATTGAAAAAACTATTTTACAGCTCATTTAACAAACACTACTCAGCAACTTAAATTTATAATCCAACAGTTACACCAAACAAATTTACAGCTTCTGATTAAAGTCATAATTTATAATCTGTTAAGTTATAATGTATAATTTGTTTTACCAACTACACAAAACGGAACCTAAGAATAATGACATACAAATGTAAATATAACATTTTGCTCATTTAAATTAGGCTTTGGTCACAGTTTGGGCCGGTCAATCCCGACCCTCAAATTTAAGGCTTAGGCTATGGACTTTGAGCATTCAATGTGCCAAACTTTCGCTGACCCATCTTAAATTCTTAAAGCCGAAATCCTGCCCATGATCTTAAAATTATGGGCTTGTAAGTTTCGCTGGGTTTGGCGCATACGAACCTAATTTGACACTAATTCGGATTTTAATTAGAATTTTCTTTATATCTATACTATTATAAAGTGAACAGGAACTTTGGTGTCATCAAGTTTTACTCTCCTCATGCCATGTGACAATATTTTTTATTTTAAAAAAAAAAGTTAAACAAAGAGATGGGCAAGGCTTGAACCCATGACCATGGGTTTAAATACGAGGACTCATACCACTTAAGCTAAGTACACATTATAATATTAATTTTATTATTATTTTTTTATTCCTACTTATTTAAATTGCACACACATCGTGTGTGCCACCCACTAGTATATATATATACACATACTATAATATATAAGAGTTATAGAAAATAAATTTTTTGGTGTCTAAAAGTAAAAATTTAATTACAAAAGACATTAAGGAATCAATTTCTATCGTTCTGAGAATAGTTGTTAAAAGGTCGTTCCGAAATGTAAAAAAAATAAGATTTTTAGTTACAAAATTTTGAAAATATTACTAATAAATACACTTTTAGGAACAAAATATAACTTGGACTCAAAAGGTTTATTTTTGGGAATTTTTTTTTAAGATCCCTAGTATTAAGATTTTATAGTATAAAGGACACTCAATATTTTCATAATGTCTAAGATCCCTCAATATCGATCTAGAGAATTTCTCTGGAGATATCACAGAGAAAATTCCAAATTTTTCTGTGATTCCAAATTTCTCTGGACACATCACAGAGAAAATTATAAATTTCTTTGTGATTCCAAATTTCTCTAGACAAATCACAGGGAAAATTTCAAATTTCTCTGAACACATCACAGAGAAAATTCAAAATTTCTCTAGACTTCCTAACCCAGAGAAATTCCTAGACAAACCTTTCTAAAAAAATTCTCTCAACCCAGAGAATTTCTCTGGACTTCACAACCCAGAGAAATTCCCAGACAAACATTTCCAGATTGCCAACACTTGCATTTGAACCCACAGTTGGAAGGCCCTGTGGAAAAAGATCAAGAGGATTTGCATTTCGTCCAGTGGAAGGCATTGCTAGCTGTGGAGAAAAGCAAAACCCTTCACGCTTCGTTGAGCTTGATCCATTTCATCGATCACCACCTCATCTTCACATATTCATCATATACACACAATTATATATATATATATATATTATTCCTGTAATTCATCAATCTCAAAGGCCATTTTTGTGAAATTGATTCGATTTTCAGTGTTATGCTCCAACTTTGCTTCGAAATTTTCGCAAATTTCGTCCAGGTGATGGACAACTACTGTACTTATATATATACACATAGGTATATATGTTTAAATTTCTGTATACAGATTATTTATTTGAAACGTTTAAATTAGGTAGAGAGAGATGAAATAGAGAAGATAGAGAGAGAGAGAGAGAGAGAAAAATGAGATTTGATGTGAGAGAGTCAAATTTCTCTGTGATATATGGGTGTAGGGTTGAAGGACTTTAGACATTATAAAATAATATTGTGGATCTCTTCTATTACTAAAAATGGGAGAGGGACCTTAGACTAATTTTCCCTTTATTTTTTTAGACAAAAAATTTGGTCCCAAAAACAACAAAAATATTTGATTCCTAAAAAATAATCTTGTCCTTAAATTTTGATTCCTAAAACCGTAATTTTTCATAGTGGTATATTTAAAATTCATTACACACAAATTTGTAATACAAAAATTTTAAAGTGCGTCACAACAGTTAGAATATTAAACTTTATTTATTAAAATAAAAAATTAAGTCCATTAAGTTATTGAAGTGCACTCACATGAAAGCTTATACTGTGCTAACTAACAGTTAATTAATAAGTACTAAAAAATTTTGATTTTTGTTTTGTTTTTGTTTTTGGTTTTGTCAGACACTTCCAAGGTGGGTGGGGATGAAGTCGGTTACAGAAGCAAAGTCGAAAATCGGGCAAGCTGTGATGATGACACTGCAAGTAGGAGTGTTGGAGAAATTCAAGAGTGTACCTTTGGTTACTGGATTCGATCTTGCTTGTTTCGCCGGTGCTGTATTTGTTTCCTCAGCTTGTTTATTCCTCCTCTCACAACTCTCTGATGGTGCTGGTGATGCTACTGCCACTAATAATATATCCTAAGAATGAGATAGGTACCTAGCCATGGAAGGAATGTATCATCAACTACTATCACTGACTAAAACAAGAAGCATAGCATACACTTAGCTTGGGAAGAGAAAGCTAAGTAACACACTCGTATAGTTAGAGGAATGACAATATAAAACCAGTCCTTAGATTTTTTATTTATTTTTGGGTAATTAGCAGTCCTTAGATTACAACTATGATTTTTCAAACCATAGTTGTAATCAATAGTCACACCCATAGTTTTAAATCGCGGTATCATGTAACGGTATCGATCGCGGAGTATTGGTATCGGAAGTATCGACCGGTACGTATCGGGTATCGGGCGTCGCGGTTGTGAAATTTCAAAAATCATTAGCAATCCCTTTAAAACTTAATTTTATGCATTATTTGACTCTTTTAGCCTTAATTTATCACATTTTAATCAAAATTTTGATATGTAGAGGCACTTTTGACTCATTTTCAACTAAATGATATGTATTTATTTTAGTCTCAAGCTTTTATTTGGCATATATGTTAAACTTTAATATAAAATTGATGTGGAAATTAATATAAACTTTAATATAGATTTGACAGATTCAAAAATTTGATAGATTCAAACAAACACACTATAAGGAAATAATTATCCTAATCAACTCATTGTCATGGCTTATAAGTTTTTCATGGATCACTAATTCTTTATGACTCAAATGAAGCACGAGAGCCTGAAATGATATCAAATTGGGCTTGGGATCTTCTATATTAATTAATTAATTAATTTATTTTATTTATCTATTTTAATGCACTTTCAATCAATAATCAGGTGACTCTAGTCTCATCCCCCATCAAGCAAACAAAAGCTTTTAAATTTTTTTTATTTGTATTATTAATATTTTATTATATATAGTTTGGTTATTTAAAAAAATCAAGGATCCCATCAAATAAAAAAAAATATTCAACACAATAATAATACTATCTAGATACACTTAAAAAGTAAAATATTTGCAAAGCTTTGCTTCAATATATATAAATGCTCCTAATATATATATATATATATAAATATTTGAAGAATTATAAATATATATTAAAATATATCTCATTCCCATCCCATACCATAATATAAATTAAAAAATAACCACAGAAAAAAGAAATTTTTTTTTTTTTTAAACAAACCAAACACAACTTACCAAGTAAAACCATCCCATACCATAATATAAATAAAAAAATAACCACAGAAAATAGAAAAAAGAAGAAAGAAGAAGAAAAAAAAAATATTATAAACAAACCGAACACCAAGCAAAACCAAAAACAGAGCATGAAACAAATATATGTAAGTATATGAAACAGAGCATGAAACCAAAACCAAAAACAGACTTACTTCTTCAGCCAAAACAAAAAACAGAGCATGAAACAAATACAAACAGAGCATAAGAGAAAAACCTTCAACGAAGAAGCTTGAAATCGGTGAGGGGTTTGCTCATTATTTTTTGCTTTTCCAGGTGATTTTGCTTTGCTCAATTATTTTTGCAGATGCTTTGCTCGTTTTCAGCCGAATCGGACAGTATCGGAACTATATCGCTCACACATCGGATTCAAGCCGATACGTGTCGGGAATCGGCCGCTACGGATGCGAAATTCATTCTCACCGGTATACCGGTGAGTATCCGACTCGGCACTCCCATTTTCCGTTACGAACCGGCCGGTACAGAACGTACCGGCCGATATTTAGAACCTTGGTCACACCACAAAGAAGTCATATGCAACTTCTTGGAAAAGCAAGAGATGTAAGGATATCTATTTTCTTTGTAGCTTAATTAACATTATTTCTATATAATATATGCAAAATAAGATGTTTATAAGACATTTTTTTATTGTCAAAATTGTTGTCTTATATCTAACACGCTCCCAATTGAGTTATGTGGTTTGGAATCTCAAAACATACAAACTCGAGGCACAATCGACTGGAGATAGGTGCATTGAGTACATGGAAATAGGAATTTCGGGTACAAATGATCATATGTATTCATATCTATTACTTTTGATAATTAACATTCTATTTGTTTCAATATGATTTTTTTTTTCGTTTTCTATGAAAATATTTTTAAAAATTATATTTTTTGTAAGAAATATTTTTTAGTTTGATTGCGGCCTTGAAATTTGAGGACGAAATTCATTTTATCTCCATTTGGTTTGAGACGAAGCACTTTACTCTCTTGGGCCATCTCCAACAGTGCGTCAAACCCTGTATCAGATTTGAAATTTGATGAAAAACTCACTTTTTCTCACTCCAATGGTTTCACCAAATTGATATCAAAATAAGAATTCACCAAAAGTTTCACCAAAATGAGAATGCACTGGGTCTTTCACCAAAACACTATTCATTACCGTTGTATTTTCACTACCGGATGACCCACTTGATGACCAATTTTCTCAAAATTTTGTGTGGATTTTACACTGGGAGGTCGACCAACCGGACGACCCCGGGGTCGACCCCCCAGATGACCCAAGCTTGAAAGCTTCAAATATAACTGGAGACGACGTTCCAGATGTTTGTTTGCTTATTCTATTGTTCTCTCCGATCTGTATTTCTCTACTAAAAAAAATTGCTATGTAAATGGAGTGTGATGCTATTTTCAGATATTGATCCCTCTCCTCCAGATAATGCTTTTGAAAGATCAATGTTTTTGAAATTTTCATTATTTTTACTTTTAAAAGCACAAAAAACAAAAATACAACCAAGCATGCCTGCTGATGTTTGGTTATGGTGTCACATCCAATCCAGTGTATCTGCTCCAAAAATGTTTGGTTATGATGTTTGGTTATGGTTTTTATTTGCTCCAAAAATACAACCAAGCATCCGTGAGTTTCTCATTTGCAACTTAGCAATGTCTACTAACAAATAAAAGGTTTTGACAGGATTAATCAGGAGGAAAAAAAAAAAATTGATAAGCCTTCTGGTCAACCCATCGGACGACCCGTCTTTTTTGATGCTCACCATTGGAGCAAGCCATATCAAATTGAGAAAATAAGCTGTTTTTTACTCAGATTTGGTAAAAAAAGTAATGAACTGTTGGAGATGCTTTTATGATTTAAGAATAGGGTGATTCTACATACACCACTATTTTATCTCTTTACACCCTTTATATGAGTTTTTTTTTTTTTTTTCTTCCTAATTTTATCCATGTGTGAAATTACCTTTAAAGACAAAATACTAAAATTAAATATATTTTGTTATCTCTTTACACTCCTTGATCTTCAATCCCTACCCCTCTTTTTGTTTCTTAATTTTTCTTTGCTCTTACACATCTTTTTTCAAAAAGTGAGAATCATAGTATTTTGATCATTAAAGAAAGCAATGGATGAAGAAACGGTGATGAAGAATCATCAAAAAAGTGAAATGGTGAGTTTTTTTTTTTTTTATTTGGTAGGTTTTTCGTTTCATTTTTCTGGATTGGTGTTCGATTTTCGTTCGATGATTCGAAATTGAACAAAATAAAATAGTTCGACATCACATTGCCGAACAAAAAATATAAGTCTGATAACTAACTACCGAATAAAAGATACATTTCCAGTAACCCCAAACCGAATTTTTTTAATTTGTTCGGCTTCTCATTACCATACATTTTTCAGTTTCATTTTTTTTTTATATTTTTATATTTTTTTGCCTAGAAGGATTATACTTATACTCATTGCAACAACGCAAGTACTGAATATTAATGGACTCTAGTCATGAATTCATTACAGACGAGGTTTGTTAAATTTTTTTATGAATATGATTTTTTCTTATTTTTAATTTGTATTGAGTTTTATTAATAATTTGACGTAAATGCATTTATTATCTTTAGATTTTTAGTAGTCATGAAGCATTAATTAAATGGGCTTCTGACGTTGGGAAGAAGATTGGATTTGTCATTGTTATAAAACATCAGATGCAGGAGGTAATGATAGAAAACCAAGACTTATACTTGTTTGTAAAAGAAGTGGTTATTATAGAGACAACAGGAAGATCAAAGGGGAATGATTGAGGTTGGCAAGTTCTAGAAAGTGTGGATGTCTATTTCTATTAAGGGGGAAAAATTACCTACAAATTATCAAGACAAATTGTGATAACATGTTTGATTGGTGGATGCAAATAATGACAGATTTTATGGATACGTTATGGACATTCATACATTTGATTTTTTATGAATAATTTTATGGATACTTTTTATGTATGATTTTATGAATGCGTGTTTGATTTATGAATTTTTTTTTATAGATGCTTGAAGGAAGAAGTAAATCTTTCAATGTACAACAACGGGGGCCTAGACAACTCTATTGTAGTTTGGCAACATGACATTAGAGTAATCCCATTTGTATAACAATGTATCACTGAACATGCACTTCACAAGTGGCCCAAATTAATTTCTTGTTATCATCTAATTGGACGGCAACATAATGTTGGGGAAAAAAATATTGTCCGGTAATATGGCACTGATGTAATTCAAATTAATTAGCGTTATATTACCGAATAGACCCACCACAAATTAAAAAATCATTGTTTGGAAGAAAGTGTCTCTGTAAATGTATAGCAAAAAAATGCTGGAGAGATCTATTTTTTCCGGCAACATAACACCGGAATAATGTAAATTGTTTAGCACCGTATTACCAAAATTAGTGGTGTAAAGAGATGAAATAGTTAATTTAGGGTTAGTTTTGGTAATATATTGGGGGGTGTAATGAGAATTACTTTTTTTTAGTGGTGTAATGAGATGGAGGGTATAAAGAGGTTAAATAGTAGTGTAAGTAGAATCACCCTTATTGTTCACATTCCACACACCAAATATTCCAATCATACCCTTAACTCATATCTTGTACAGACACCACCTCAATTCACTTTCCACACACTCTCACATCAATTTATCCCCTCTCATGGAGTTGATGAACACAATTCATCCAAGGCCAAATCGATGAGGTAGATCTATAATCAAGAGTAAATTCTGATCAAGAGGAAATTGAAGTTCTAACAAAGAGCACCTTTGAACCCAAAAGAATTCCATCTCCATTATCTTCATTAACCTCTATCATCAAGCCCATCTTTCTATTTTCCAAACAAGCCCTAGTATTTCTATTTACAAGTTGATTAGTTGAATGAAATCTCACCTGAGTCTTTGCTATTAAGATGTTCAATTTGTATTTTTGC